TTAAATTCCCACTGCTGAAAGAAAAAAAGAGTTAAAAATACAAATTAAAAAAAAAATGATCGGATATTAGTTAATGCAATGTGAACTAATGCACGAGCTAATCAGAGCTTTGACATCCCGTTGCCGGAAAAAAAAAAAAAAAGTTAGACGTCAGCTAATAATGTTGAAGTCAGCTAATACGTAGTTTGCTAATGCAAGTCAACTAATCAGAGCTCTGATAACCCGTCGCCAAAAAAAATTAAAAAAAAAAAAGATAAAAGAAAAAAAATGCTATGTCAACTAATGTTGAAGTTAACTAATGCTAAGTCAGCTAACCGGAGCTCCGACGAACAGCCGCTGGAAAGCAAAAAAAGATGTCAACTAATGTTAAATTTAACTAATGTTGAAGTTAACTAACGTTGAGTGAGCTAACCGGAGCTCCGACGACCCACCTCCGAAACAAATTAAAAGGAAAAAAATAAAAAGATAAAAGAAAAAAAAATGGAATGTCAAATGTCAACTAATGTTGAAGTTAACTAATGCAGAGTCAGCTAACCGGAACTCCAACGACCCGCCACCGGGAAAATAAAATTTAAGAAAAAAAGAAAAAAGAAATGGAATGTCAACTAATGTTGAAGTTAACTAATGTTCAGTCCGCTAACGGGAGCTTTGACGATCCGCATCTGGAAAAAAAAAAGAAAAAGAAAAAAAAATTGAATGTCAACTAATTGAAGTTAACTAATATTGAGTCAGCTAACCAGAGCTTCGACGACCCGCCGCCGAAAAAAGAAAATGAATGTCAACTAATTGAAGTTAACTAATTATGAGTCAACTAATTGGGGCTCCGACCACCTAGGCCATTGCTGGGAAATTTCTTTTTGAAACAATAAATAAATAAAATTTAAATTATTTTTTTTCAAATAAAAATAATAATAATCAAAATAAAATAAGATAAAACAAACTCAAATTAGGGTTTGAAAGGGTAAAAAGGGTATAAACTGATTATTTGAATTTATATCAAATGAAACTTAGAACTAATAGATTGTACTCAAAAACATAAAAAGGCTAGGCTTATCCCGCATTATGCAAGTTAGTGAGGGGCTATCTCAAATAAACCCTAAACTTTACAATGTTTGCAGATTTGCAACGAGATATCTATAGGACGGATACACATTAAAGGCACAAGATAGAAACTCGAACACGGTCTCAAAACACTAACCATGCCGCGCACATGGTGTTCAGGTTAGACATGATGGATATATGGGCTTAAATCGTCGAAAACGGGAAAATTACACTTTTCGTCCTCATACTTTACCCACTTTTTCAAAACTGTCCCTAAACATTTTGGAGTTACAATAGTAGTCCTTAATCATGTCATTTTTTGACAGAATTGGTCCGCCGTTAATTTTTGCGGTTAAGTTGGATGGAAAATGACATGTGCCTCTCACATACCTTCAATTTACAACACTACATGAAAATGGACTTTCAACAACACGCATTGCGTCTTGTTAAAACATATTTTTCATAATTAAAACTTGATTGAAATTCGAAATTATATAACATCCAAAAAAGCAAAATCGATATATATTGTTTTAAAATATTTTGAGAAATAAATTGAAACATTGTTTAAAAAAATGAAATATTGCTTTCAAAATTAAGATTTTCGGAATTCAAATGAAAACATTCTTTCAAAATAAAATAAAAATTCGATCCGAATAGGTGGGATAAGAAACATCCATTTCAATCTTCACCCTAATTTAATAATGTAAAACTCGATATATTATTTCCAAATATTTTTAGAAGTATTGTATAAAATAATAATATAATGTTTAAAACGGGAATTTCTTGAATCCAAATGAAAATTATTGTTTTAAATAAAATAAAAATCTGATCGTAATAGGCGGAGTAAGAAAACTCCGTTCCAAATTTCACCCTTATGTAGTAATCTAAAACTCGATATTTTTTTTTCAAAATAAATTCAGAAATATTGTTTACAAAATCATAATATTGTCTAAAGATATAAGTTAAAATCGGAATTTTTGGAAATTGAATGAAAATATTATTTTAAAATAAAATAAAAATTCGATCAAAATAGGCAGCATAAGAAAACTCCTTTCCAATTTTCACTCATATTGAATGATTTAAAACTCGACATATTGTCTCACAATTGGGATTTTTTGAATTGACTAGAGGTGAAAATTGGAATGGATATTTCTAATTCCCCAATTCCTATCGGGTTTTTTTTATTTTGGTTAGAAACGATATATTTTAATTGAATTCCCAAAATGCCGATTTTGGAACAATATTTTAAAATTTTAAACTATATTTTGATTTTTTAAACAATATTTCCGGAATGAGTTGATTTTTTTGGAATTTACGTGATTTCGTTTTTATATTAATTAATTAAAAATAATAATTAAAAAAAATATGTTTTAACAAGATGCAATGCGTTTTGTTGAAAGTCCATTTTCATGTAGTGTTGTAAATTGAAGGCATGTGAGAGGCACATGCCATTTTCCATCCAACTTAACGGCAAAAATTAACGGCGGACCAATTCTGTCAAAAAATGACATGATTAAGGACTACTATTGTAACTCCAAAATGTTTAGGGACAGTTTTGGAAAAGTGAGTAAAGTATGAGGACGAAAAATGTAATTTTCTCCGTCGAAAACTGTAGTGTAGTAAGATTTCTCAAAAATCAATCAAAAAATAGGGGTTTTTTGTGCATAAGTCCCCAATCAAGCATCTTTATTATTCTAGGTTTAGGGGCTATATGCCTATATCTCTTTCACCAATAAGCCCATCCCTTTAATATTTATTATAAATAAAGGAAACATTCATGTATATGCCAATATTACCCTCAACCATTTATACACAATTCTTAATTGTAACCCCAATTTAATCAATTTTGTCCACAAATATCCAATTTTGACCACAAAAATTCAATTTTGACTTTTTTTTGGAGCATACTTTAATATGCTCCAATTTTATTTTATTTTTTCATTTTCTTTCTTTCGGATTTTCTCGCCGGTCTCCGGCGTTGACCTTTTTTTTTTCTTCCGGATTTTTCGCCGGGTTTCGGCGTTGACTTTTTTTTAGTGTTTTTTAAGTTTTTTTTTTCTTTTTTTGTTTTTCTTTGTTTTTTTTTACGTCCGCCGCTAAACGTTGACCGTAATTGTGCTGTCACTGACAGCAAATTAACGTAATTACACTGTAATGACAGTTAATTAACGTAATTGTACTACCGTTGACAATACATTTATGTAATTGTGTTGCCGTTGACAGTAAATTAATAATGTAAGGAACCCTCTAGTATGTAGCCCCTAATCAAACTTTACACCCAAACGAAAATATTAAAATTGATGCACGTAATGATCTTAAATTTTATAAATAGAACGACGATATACTCTAGATTCTTCTATTGTTCTATTCAAAATAAAAAATCAAGGTCTATGCACGATAATAGGTAATAATAAAAATATTTGTGCAATTAAGCACAAAAGTGTTATAGGCAGATAATGTGTAAGCATATAAATAAATTAAATAGAAAACGTAAATAAAACCAATATACTCACATTATAATTCAAAGGTGACTTTTCAATTTTAAATAATTATGGAGTACATCTCAAGATGCCTAGCACAACATTAATATCAAGTCTTTGGACAGTAATATTAACTGTAAGTGGCACTCTTGTTGTAGTAATCAAGTGCCGGCGATAAATCCAGTCAAATAATGAGCTCATATTTGGATGTCACTTATTATTCACATGGAAACGTAACAATTGTCACGGACTTATCACCACAGTTGCATATGTGGTTCGGCCAAATATCAACCTACCTTTGGGTATAGTTAAATATTCGCATGAATTTAAATACACATAACATCTTAACATTCTCAATAAGCTAATCTCCACAGAGAGGTCACTTTAGTGGCTTCATGCTTCAATCAGTTATCTTAAAAGTCAGACAACTTAATAACAAGTCATTAGATGTACCCAAAAAATTATTCAGAAATTTAAAGTCGTTGTTGAACGCTAAGGCTCTAAAGACATCACCTGAGCGCTAATAGTCTGTATCGATCACTAAGGTTGCCTCGCTGTATTGTTTTCGAATCAAACTCAGTAATATGGTTATTCATAAAAAATGAGTATGAATTGAAAACTTCGAATCCATTTTTATATTGAATTTGAGCTAAAGATGATGTGGGGCTTACAATTCAACCTTATTTTAATTTAGAGGCCAAAATAAATTTTAAAAATAAATCTACGTTTATATGGATTTGGACTATATTAGTAACTCAATTTAGACTTAAAACAAGTGTTTCGACTCAAATGAATTTAAAAGAATTCACATATTAGTTCGGTCCCTCAAAATAATTGAAATATTTTAAACGTCCCAAAAAACCTTAAATCAACTTTTTATTCATTAAAAATTGCGCTTGCCCCAAATCCAGAAAATCTTACAACTTAAAGGACATAGTTGAAATTTCGAAAGAAAAGTCTTTGAGAGAAAACGGACGTGAGATTCAGAAATACTTAATTTGTGTGTGGAAATATATTTTCAAAAAATGTACTGCAGTTTTGAGAGAAACTCTAAATGTGGGGACTTAGATGAACTTTTCGGAAGCTTTGGGCCTTAAATCAGATTTGTAAATATTTTCAATTGGACCCCAGTCCAAATCAAGAATAACCAAACTTCGGGGACCAAATTGAAGTTACAGAAACCCTAAATCTGGGGTGAAATTGAAATTTCCCAAAACTTGATCAAACCAAATATTCTCCTTCCAGACCAGCCGCCACCCTCACCATCGATAGAATTTCAGAATTTTTACGTTAATTCTTAATGCTTAATCTTAATTCAATTGATCCGAATTGATGCATTTGGAAAACATAATCAAACAATTGTATAACCTCACCAAATTGAATTAAAATTTAAGATTTTACGAAATTTAATAAAATTCAGCAAAATTGAGAAATCCCAATGATTCAAAAAATGGTGGCTCTCATACCACTTGTTAGAAATTTATAGTACATACATACTACATGCTTGAATTAACGAGAAGCGTATCTTACATCATGGAATTGAATCTTCGAATCTCCACTGGATTTATACTTAAGAAAACATGAATTATTACGGTTCAACAACAACGACTCAAGGGATCGATGATCTCTTCGATTTGGATTATGAACACTCAAAACTTATAAATGTCGTCTTTTCGGCAGCCTCGCCCACTGATTTGCCTGAGCTTCTTCATCTTCATCATCAAAAACGCTACTCCAAAACGCATCATCATTTGCAAATTCCTTGGCTGAATCTTCTGACGGCAAATCAGCCGCCTCTCTTGCGGGTTCTTTTTCTTCTTTTCCTTCTTCAATCGGTAATCCCTCCAATATACTACTCCAATATAATGCAAAATCCGACGGCAACTCGCCCTCTGGTGCTGGTGCTGGTGCTGGTGCTGGAAGTAGATATTCTGGCACATTAATGTCGAAATCGGCAAGTAGATTTTCTGAATGCACACGAATGTTGAAATCGGGAAGTAGATTTGCTGGTGTTGGTGCTGGTGCTGGTGCAAGTAGATTTTCTGACTGCACACGAATGTCGAAATCGGAAAGTAGATTCTCTGGTGCTGGTGCTGGTGCTGGTACAAGTAGATTTTCTGACTGCACACGGATGTCGAAATTGGGAAGTAGATTTACAGGTGCTGGTGCAACTAATTGTTGAACTTCTTGATCAAATTGGCGGCCGTGTGCAGCGACTGCTTTTTTATCCAATTTCGTAGCTCTCTTATGAATACGGCACAACGCCCAATCGTCAAACTGCAAATTTCAAATAAATAAAAAAGAAAGTTAATGATCAATTACACTCATTAACAATCAAATCATTACACATACTGTATATGTATATGTATAAGTACGTACCTTCGTGTCGTTTCTGTCCCTTTTGTTTCGAGAAGGTTGTTGATTATTAGTAGCAGCAATAAATTCGTGCATAATCCAATCAGTCTTAATTGACCTATTTGGATGTAATCCTTCCCAGAAATTCAAAGACCTCTTTGATCCAATAGTGACACCATCAATATTTTTAATAGGTGTATCTGCTGTGGTAGCCCTCCAGTATCCGTTGTTTGCCGTCCGATCGGGCCTCGATCCTTTCGGGTTCTTTTTATTCCTCAATGTGAAAAAGTACCATTCATTATCTCCAAGTGTTGGATATTTACCTGTATATATACACACATGCATGGGTTAATTTTCACGTTCAATATATTTGCATGTATACACACATGGGTTAATTTTCACGTTCAATATATTTGCATGTAGAAATTTAATCAATCAAACCCTAGACCAGATCATGCACAACCCTAGACCAGCCGGTTCTAACTATAGGCCTTGGGCCCCTGATTTTTAGAGAAAAAAAAATAGGGGACCCAAATAATGTCTTACACTCTTTATATATTATAATTGTTCAGTCGTGTTCGTTAGAATGAATTAATGTATATATTATACAATACAAATTGATAGGGGTCTATTTTTAAGAATTATTAAAACTCGACTAGAATCCCAAATTTATCAAGAAAACTAAGTTCAGCGTACAAAGACTATATAGACTAAGATCATTAGTTAAACCCCAACGCAACTAGATCTGAAAATAAAAACAACGCAAAAAATTACTAATAAATAAATATAAAAGAAAAGAGATCATGCATGTGAAATATACGTACGTAACTAATAAAACCCTAGGCGAAGATCGTTGAGTAAACCCTAACTCATCAACATAATCATATAATGAACACAAGAACGAAAAATTAAAGAAATATCCATCTAGCTAGTAATTAAATTGAAGAACAAACCTGAATAAGTATCTGGATTATATTTGTAAAAATCGACAACTCTGATATCGTCGATGGGGATCGGCTGATTGTTGATCTTCTTGACCAAGTACTCAGTGATTAGCTCTTCATCCTTTGGTGCAAATCGATAACCTGGTGGATATTGGTACGCAGATTCATAATCTTGATGATTATTCTCCATACTCTTCTCTCTCTCTCTCTCTCTCTCTCTCTCTCTCTCTCTCTCTCTCTCTCTCTCTCTCTCTCGTGTTTATTAGTTGTGAATAAGCATTGTACGTTCATGGTGTTTATATATAAATATAGATAGATAGATGTAGTCATGTAGATTATGAGATGTTTTGTTTTTATTGGATTCTAATAGATAAAGTATAAAATACGCTATTAAATCGTTATATCTCATCTACAAAGTTCTGCTTACCGATCAAATTAAGGTATATTATATCCATCCAGCCGTTAAACTATTATCAAATTACAAATATCCCCTTCTTGTTTGACGAGTTATGTACAATCACCCCTCAAACCAATAAAATAATGGGGTTATTTTACATACCCCTAGCCACCAAATAAACTAGGGATAAACCCAAGCCCAAATTATCCTTTGACATACCCCTGAGGAAGCGAAAGTACTATACTACCCTTATGTGCAATTTTCGGCCAAATTGCATTCAACATTTATGGTCCTGCATTTATCATTTTCGCTGATTTATTTATTATTATTTTTTTTAAATCTGTTTGTTATATATATATATATATATATATATATATATATATATATATATATATATATATATATATATATATATATATATATATATATATATATATATATTTTTTTTTTTAATTTTTTTTTAAAATACAAAAAATTATTTTTTTTTTATTTTTTTTTTAATTTTTTTTTTAATTTTCAAAACAATATGTTTACAGTACTGAAAATAACTACATTGAAAATAACTACATGTAACTATAGTACCTATAGTAATTCATAGTTATGTTCGTTTTTTCCCCATATTTTTAGTCGATCAATTGTATACACACACGAATACTGACTTATACAAAATAAATTCATAAAACCCCAACAAAAATTTACAAATTTAAATATTTTTATTATAAATCACATCAGAACCAATAAAATACAAATCGAAAATACATAAAATATACGCATATGTAACTACATGTTACTATAGTAATGCATAGTAATGTATACAGTCTGTTGAACAGATCTGATGTAACTTAAAAAAACAAAAAATTGACACCTTCAAGGAAAGAATCAATGGCCTTCATTACGCTGCAATTGCAAAATCAAAACAAAAAGAAATTACTTTAGTGCAAATCAACAAATTTGAATAAAAACATCAAAACACTCAAAAATCACCAAACATTAAGAGATCGAGAGATAGATAGAGAGGTTATTGCTGGGGAATGCAAAAAAAATATAGAAATAAATCTGAAAAGATAAAAATAAACGAAATTACCATCAAAATATAGATCCCGACGAGAGGAATCCAACGGTGGATGACCCGTCAAATTTCGACGGGTGGAACACAAAATAAAGCTCCGGCAAGACCACCGTCCTCGAATGAAAAAAAATTGCAGAAACAGATCCGCGCTCGAAACTGAATGAAATCACCACCAAAGAAAGAGCTCGACGAGAGGAATCCAACGGTAGTTAAACCATCGAATTCCGACCACCGGAGAGAGAGTTATGGCTCCGGGAAGCAATTTCGCCGGTGAGAGGTTTGTAGAGGCGGGATTTTGTATTTGGGAGAAGAAGAGAGAGACCGTGAGTGGCTAGGGTTAAAACTGATTTTAGAAGGGTATTATAGGAACTTCAGGGTAGCCCAGGGGGTTATGTCAAAATATTTTCGAAATGAGGGGGGTTTCACCTAGAGTGTAATCCACTTGATAGTTAGTTCTATATAATTTGGAAATGAGGGGGGTCTACAAAATAATCCCTAAAATAAAATTAGAAAATTTGAGAAGGAAAAAAAAACATACGCAAATTGGAAATTATATGTCGAATTTATTTGCTCACTTTATCTAAGAAGGGATATATTTTCGATGGGATTGTGAATGTAATAAATTAAAGGGTAAATTACAAATACCCCCCTGAAGTATGATCAAATTACAAATACACCCCTCTTGTTTGGATAATTACAACCACCCCCTCATCTCTTCAAATTTAGTGGAATCTTCGAGATTATATGAAATATTATCACTTTTGTACCCGTTTTATACCATTCAAACTCTACATTATGAAGTAAGATGATCATAATATGTGATTTTTAGCTTGTGTATATCAGTTTGTAGTGCATCGAAAACTGTATTTTTACACATAAAGAATACAAACTAGAGCACATTCCACGGAATCTAGATGATTATATTGAATTTGGCACAATAAGGGTGGAGGTGTACGAAAAAAATCATAGTTGAGGGGGTAGATGTAATTATCCAAACAAGAGGGGGGTTTTTGTAATTTGACCATACCTCAGGGGGGTGTTTGTAATTTACCCTAAATTAAATGGGTTCAGCTCCTTTTCTTTGATTAGTGAATGTAATATATTAGTGAGATTCAAACAAAAAATGAGAACTTATTCATAAAGAGATTCAAACAAAAAACTCTTTTATAAATAAGTCCACACATGGTCCAGATTTTTATAAAAGACTAAAATAGCCCCTCATACGTTAATATGCTCCAATTTCATCCTTAATTTAACCTCAATTTGACCCCAAATTTCACAAATTAATCAATTTTGAGCCAAAACTTTTTTGTCACGAGGCAGTAATCAATTAAACTGTTTTGTATACAAAGTAATAAAAGAATAATGTAGATTCAGGCCGTTTCTCAATGCTGAGACAATATCTTGGCTAAAAATCTGTGACACACAATATTTCAACAAAACGAGGACATGGTAAACCCGAGAGAAATTATATAAACTGTATATATCACATGAAGCTTGAATCGTTTAATAAACGAGCATAGTTAGAAGCCACTTCACTGATCAACCTCGAAAGGAATCATCAAACAAAGATGGAAATTAACACATCCTAATTAAGTTGCTTTATACATGCTTTAGAACAAGGAGGAAAAAAGTATTTGCACGAAGGCGGTAATTTTTCGGGTAGAAAATTAGATAAACGTAATCGCGGAATCATCATTGTAAAGCTTATACCCAACATTCACGAATATAATGTAGCCCTTCCTTCATCCATATTCACAAATAATTTAACATATATAATTAAATGCTGAAAATAGAGATTAATTAATCTCCAGAACAACAGTATTGAATAACAAAAAGGGAAAAACTAGAGAGAGAAACATCTAACGGAAAAATGGAGAATGAGTTGAACAAATTACCTTGGAAGGGGGGAAATGCGATCTTGTGCGAAGGGGGTTGAATTTGTACGAACTCAGAGCTGCGGAAACCCTAAGATCTCCTGAAATCGCCATTGTCGAATCAATTTGTAGCTGAATTCGCTCTGTAATTCACTCTGTAATTCACTAGGGTTTCTCTTAACTCAATTTCGTCATTCAATAGTGGGACTCTGGACACTGTGTTGTGTGTATTACATATACGACGTCGTTTTTGAATTACTCAAGGAATAAAGAGTAATTGTATATTTTTTTTTCCTCTTTATCTATAATTTAATTCAGTCGTGACAAAATTCTATTAATTTAGCGAAATTTAAATTATCGAGCTAATAATTTAATATGTTTTTACTGAGTCGAGACCGTAAGAAATTATTATTTAAGCGATGTTATTAATTTATCGAGTATTAATTTATTGAAGTTTTACCGTATATTTTTTTGTTATGTATTTTTTTCCTATATCATAAGCTCATTAATAAGTGGTTTATTTACCTATAATGAATTGTTAATCAAGGCAAGTAATTTAGGAATTATTTGTGTAGATATAAATTATCAAGAAATCGGCGAAAAAATCTGGAAGAAAAAAAAATCGACAAGTCAACGCCGGAATCTGACGGCAAAAACTTTTTTGAAAAAAAAAGTCAAATTGATTTTTGTGGTCAAAATTGGATTTTTGTGTACAAAATTTATTAAATTGGGGTTACAATTAAGAATTGGGTATAAAGTGTTGGGGGTAATATTGGCATATACATGATATTAAATGAATGAACTTATTGGTGAAAGAGATATAACCCTAAACCTATAATAATAAAGATGCTTGGTTGGGGACTTATGCACAGAAACCCCATCTTTTATTAGTGAGAGACCCATTATTTTTTTTTATTTTCAAATTTACCCTCCAACTATTATCTACCCATTATCCACTAGTTTGATGTATTGTTTTAATTTTTTATTTTAATATTAATTTTCGGTTTTTTTATTTGTTTCTTGTTTAAAAAATAATAAAAAAATTAAATTTTTTTTTAATTTGTTTAATATTTTTCTTTAAATATT